CTGAGAGCATGATTTTTCATCATGAACACACTTGTGCTACATTTCCGACTTGTATGCTAGATATTGCTACTTTTTAATTCACATTGACTGCGTCATTTGACTGTTATTGCCAGAAGGAAGGAAAGAGAGAGAGAGAGAGAGAGAGAGAGAGAGAGAGAGAGAGAGAGAGAGAGAGAGAGAGAGATAGAGAGAGAGAGATAGAGAGATAGATAGATAGATAGAGAGAGAGAGAGAGAGAGAGAGAGAGAGAGAGGTAGAGAGAGGTAGAGAGAGAGAGAGGTTCTACCCATCGTAGAACCCATAACATATATATGTATATATGATTACTGAGCGTTATTACCGACAAAAATTATTGTAGCCGTTGCTGCCCATCTTTCTGCGAGTCTGGGTAAATCAATGGTAAATAAAATTTAAAACTTTGGCAGGAAAAAATCAACTTTGCCACAAATTTCTACTTCCTCAAGATGTTGCCGATAATGGTTTACTTTGTTTTGTGGATTCTAAACTTTATTTAATTTGCTAAGTCTTTCACAGGTTAAAAGCAACGACCAATCATTAAAGATCCTACGCATCATTCCCTCAAGTTCCATGACATTTCAAAACAATGCGTTATAGCGAAAGCGATCGAAGATATGTTCAGATTCGAACTATTTTCGATAGCGTTCGTTTCTACATCACAATAAATGAATGTTGCAACTTTTTTCAAAATATGTTAAAAACTGCTGTCTGCAGCTTAAAGACAAACGAAAAAGGCGATCAAGCAGACGAAAAAGCTTACATAAGTTCAGAAAGTGATTGTGAATTAATCGGCACAATAAAAGACGGGTCCTTCTACGTATTGTGTGTATCCGCACAAATTTAATTTGCCCTTATCGATCATCACAAGTGATGTATGGTAGAAAGAGTAAGTAAAAATAGCTTCAAGCTTCAAAAATATATATATTCGGTAAAAGCTTAAAAGGGTTTTTGAAAAATTTCGAAATGTATTAGTTTTAAAATTAGCTAAGTTTGACATATTAAAATTTGCATTTTAAATGCAATAAAACGACATTTGGACATATATAGTAACGCCCCGCTTTAGATTGACTGGTCGGTCGATTAAAGAATTTTCAAAATTCGAAAATCGAAAAAAGAAAAGCTTAAAAAAGCTAGTGATTTTACTTTTTTTTTTTGATAACTTAAACGATATGCGCTACATCTAATTTACTGTTATGACCCATATATACACACATACAAATGAAATTAATATAAACTAAATGTCGTTTGCAGTTGTTTTTTCGTGTGGCGCATACATCAAGCAAATAAGATGTTGTGCATTACGAGAAATATGAAATTTATGGCGACCTTTTAAGCCGGTATTCTTCGACATCACTCACTTAGATGAGAGTTAATTGTACTATTTACGGATATGTGAAAAGCTTATAGCTTCTGATTTTGATGGAGTCAAATCCAGAGTTTGTTTTCACTCTTGCTAGAGAGATCGGAACTAAGCCGAGTACATTTGAAAGCATTTTTGATGTTTCAAAATTCAGACTTATGCATACAAGGGTATGATTTCATAATTGTTTTGCATCGAGCGTTTAGAGATATTGTTGAGATTGCAATGGAAATAAATTACAAGTGCCCCGTTGCAAAGTTTTAAGTTATTTTGTAATCTGCTAAAACACACACACACACACACACACACGCATACACGCACACAATACACACAGCCACACATAGAATTGTTAAGGCAAATAAGTACATCCAAATTTATTTTCTATTTTTTTTTTTTTTTTTCTGTGAATGTAGAAATTTATTAGGCACCTCATCAAAATTTAATTAAAACTAAAAATTGTTGGTTTTAGAACAAAATTGTATACGCGTTATGTAAGTATGAATGTATGTCGGTCTGTCGCATTAATTTTGCTGTTTCATATTTATCTAAATGTACATCGACAGGTGGATTTACGACGACATCCGAGGCAAACACATGCATACATATGCATACCTACACGTACTTTTATAATGTAAACTGCGATCGATAGGCCTGAAAATTTCGGTGATGGCAGGGGGGAAGGGGAAAAAAAAGAAGAAGAGTGTTGTTATCCTACAAAATCCATGTAGAACTGGTTTACTTTAATGTGTTTGTGCAAAGTTCGTCACGGGACAATATTGTTTGTGCCCCGTTGAGAGATGCCGTTGCCCTGCACTCGGTGTATACGAATGTACACACACAAACACAGAGAGCGAGAGCGAGAGCGAGAGAGAGAGAGAGAGAGAGAAAGAAAGACAGAAAGAAAGAAAGAAAGAAAGAAAGAGAGAGAGAGAGAGAGAGAAGAAAAAAGAGAGAGAGAGAGAAATGAACACACTATCATGCACTTAATGCAGGGAAAATGCAATCGCACATAATATTATACGAAGCATGAAAATTGGCAAAACAACATAAAATACATTTTAGAAAAATTGTACAAGAGACGACAGCAACAACGGCGACCGTGTTACAATGAAATAGAAAAAAAGGGACTTTTTCTTTCAGTTTTCTAGTTTGAGATTGACGGCGAGGTCTTCGGTTAGCATAATTGTGCTTTTTGGCATAAACTCAAGAAAATCTGAGGGTAAAAATATCGTCATATATAAATAAATAAAATAAATAAATTGCAATCCTAATGAGAAACAAAAGTACCCACTTTTTCGGTTTTTGCATTTATTGTTTTTGTTATTGTTGCTGTTATTTTAACGAGCGGCGTAAATTTTTTCTGCTTTTCTGGTTCTTGTTTTGTGTCTGAAAATCTAAAATATATTTGTTGTAAATTTGTTAATTTCAGATAATAGTGACTAATGCCTGCCGACCGAAATGCCAATGGACACATAAAAATTTCTACTAATAACAAAAATCTTTCATATACGCGTATCCGTAATGAATTTTTTTTTTTTTTTCACAAAATCTATTATAGCATGCAATTTTTAATAATCTTTAACTGAGTTAAGCGAGCGACTCGTTATCAGCTAAACATTTATGTTAAAATATTAAATATTTTATATTTGTTTTTATTTTCTAGAATTAAAATAAAAATAAAAGAAAAAAATGCCTATAAATGAATTACAAATACAAACCCTATAGCTTATATTGTGCTCTCTATTCTCCTCTAGATAAAGAATTGCTTTATTTTTAGGGAAATAGTCTATCTAGTCTATCTTGGATTGAACTAGGGCTGTAAGGAAGCAAAAAATTGAAGCGTCTGGTCTCTCTTTGCATTGTTAAATGACATCCAAATTTTATGTGTTTTACTTAATACACAGTGTTAGGTGGTGAGATACGTTTCTCCTTCATTTAAAGTCCAAAATCATCAAAATGTTAAAATGCGGCTAACAGTAGTCATAAGTCATAAATAATAATAATAATATTAAGATGAGTGAAAAAAAAAAAAGAAAAGGATTTGAGACGAATTTTGGTTGCTTTCAGCTCAGCTACTAGCTATAGTCGTTTTTCTTTTAGAATGACTTCCGTTTACGTTATTCTTTCACACCGCGTATCATTTTGCGAGCTTATCAACTTTTTTTACTTTTACACTTTTCAAAGATGGAAAATGAAATAAACGGGAAAAGTACAAGTGTAATTAAATCTTCGAACGCTCATGTATCTCAATGAACAGTTGATTAAAATTTGGTTTCACTTGAGACACACGACAATCATTATGCTTGAAGCATTTGCAAGCGGAATACGAATTGTGAGCGATATGTGTTGCAATTTTGTTGCAGACTTCACATGACATTGAGAGATTATACGAAAGTTTTTTTTCATTTCAACATAACCTCGAGATTGGTGTAATGAAATTTGACTTGCTAATCGAATACATTTGAGAAGTACTTTGGGTAAACGACATCCATTGAATTGATTCTGAACGATCTCATGATTACTCTAAGAAAGCAAAAATAACTTTAATTTTTTAAGGAATCTTATCTTTTATATCCAGTCGATATTTTCTTAGTTTGACGTCTGGTTCCTAGCATGTGACAAAGTTCGCAAAGATCGTGGTGAGATTGATTCGTCATGATATTATCGAAGCATATTGCGTTAGATTATTGGAATTTTAAAGCACATTAATTTAAATGATCGTACTTTGATTCAATTTCGAATTTTTTTTGATTGATAAAAGTGAATTATATAACTGTACTTACATGCGAGTCAGTATTGTTCTCGAGTTTCAACTGCAGGCCCGTCGTGTCGCAGTGAAACTCACTTGAGCAGAGGATTATTACAGTTGGAGTGGGCAAATAGGAGTGGTTATAGAGGCTACATTATTCTAGGAGGCTGTACATCGTTTCGTCACGAAAGCACACATACACACACACATACGCACGCACACACAATAGATGAAAGAAAGATTCGGGGGAGCTCTTTCATGCCTTGGTAAGGCCTGAAAAGTTCGTTTCTCGTAAATGGGCTCATTATTTGGTGTACAGAGTGAGAAAAGAGGACTGGTTGTAGAGTCTATAGGGGACTCTACCGTTTCATCACGAACGCAGCACAGTAGCCGAATGAAAGACTCAGGCGTCTTGATAAGACCTGAAAAGGTTGTTTCTCGTAGAGTCATGGTTCTAAAGTGTTGGTCAGAGATCAACTCTGCCTGTGCAACAAAGCTTACCGTTTCTTCGAAGATCCGACTTGACAAAAATTCTATATTAAAGACATCTTTTTTTTTCTTTTTTTTTTTTTTTTGATAGAAACATGAAATTATACCATTATTATAACAATAACCTCCTGGTTCCGTTTATAAGAAGAAAAAAAACCTCTTTTAAAAGTTTGCGCACGATAAATGCTTATATTATATATCATAAGAGTTTTATTTCGAGGAGACTCGACTTATGCATAAAACATAAACCAATTACCTGACCATTAATGAAATGATAATTAGTATTTAGGAATATGAACTCTTCCACAGATCCCAAGTCAATACGAATGAAATGTGTATCGTTAAGGTTTAACGGGAGAAGTTTGTAAATTTCATCACACTTACCTTTCCTTGCATAATCAGCCTTATTGTTAATGTGACCGATGGATCTTCGTGTTTCATTGGCGTACTTGTGTTATTGTCTTCCATTTTCTTTCTATTTTTATTCCCGTTGGTTGTTGTGGGTGGTGGTTGTATAGTTGTAGTTATTATGTATACGAATTTAAATAAATTTAAAGAATAATATACCGTCGTTTCCTTCTACTGCTTCTTCTTTTTCTTCTTCTTCTTCTTCGTCTTCTTTTTGTTTATGTTTTGTTATGCTCTCTATTTTCACTTAAATCTTGTATAAAATTGTTTTCCTTCTATTGTAGATTGTCTTTGTCGTTATTATTGTTATTATTATTTAATTTAGTTTATTTATTTTTAATTTAATATTTTCAGCTTTTGTTTTCTTTTTTGTTTTTTTTTTTTTTTAAACAATTTTACTTTTACATTTATGTTTACATGTATTTAAGTATTTTCAACAATGTATATAATTTTGTATATATTCGTATGCGTGTGTATGTGTGTATATAATCGAGCAAGAGCGAAAGATATTGATTGAGATTAAGTTAATAGATTTGTTGTTGCTGTTGTTGTTGCTGTTGTAATTTTTTAAATAATATAACAATCATATATTATTAATAATAATTAATTGTTGTTGTTTTTTTTTTTTTTTTTTTTTGTTTGTTTGTTTGTTGGTGGTGGTGGTGTCTTTTATCGTTTAATTTAAGCTCCTCTGGTGAAATTTGATAAAGTTTATTTTTTTTAAGTTTATTATAATTATTAATCTTTTTAAACTTATTTCTTATTAGCTTTGTTTTTTTTTTTTGTTTTTTTTTTGTTTTTTTTTTTTGTTTTTTTAATTCAATTTTAAGTGAAAACGCGGAAGAGTTTCTATTGTTCCCGTTGTTTTATATACTTTTTATTTAATTTAATTTAATTGTTTTTCTTTTTCTTTAATTTCTAAATTTTTTTTTTTTTTTTTTTTTTCTTTATTAACCGCACTGATGTTTTCCATCAAAAGAAATTAAAAGCAATCATTATTCCATGAGCATGGATTGATTTATATATAAGCGTCGTTTTTAGTACCGGATTTATCACTGGTCACACCAATAACAGCGTTGCAGGTTTAGATTGTTTTGAACGTTTGTGAGTTGAACGGTGCACAAATTTCTCTTTGAATACGAAAGTCTTTAACTTTTCTTAGTTGTAATTTCTTTTCGTAGCCTTGAAAATATTTCTTATTCAATTTATATGGCGGACATATATCATACGCTGTAACGAGACAAAGGCAAAAAAATCTATGAAATAAAACATAATTAATTGTAATTATAAATGGCATCTCAGTACACATATAATATAATGATTATCGAAATAAATTTTCCTAAAAAAGAAAAAAAATAAATAAATGAATAAATTTTATGCAGTTTCGAACGAATTTTTGAATACCCTTCAAATAATAATTACATTTCGAAATTAACGAAAACATTTCGCATAAAATAAATTTATAAAATAAAACGTTCAGGTCAGCGCAAACGTCTTACTAAATAGTATCATTGTTGTTACACATATATAAATAAAGACAGCACACGTATCCGCCTCCTATTTGGACGATATATACTCGGCCCTATGTAAACTATTGCTATATATATATGTATGTATATATGTCTTAAATATGTAAGTATAAAAACGACCATATTTAGAATAATTGTTTGGAAGCATTTAATTGTTACTACTTTCGACGAACATTTGGACCCATGTATATGACGAAGACCGTACTTGGAATATACTTGCTTTGAAGTTTTTAATTTTTAGTATTTTTCGACGAACCCATTATTAATTGCGAGGAACACAATTTTTGACATGAGGCAAAATTTCGAGTCCGCTAACGGATTTGCATTCCGATGATCAAACCGATGGCATCCATCTATCGATTCTGTCTTTCTTAATCACTTAAGGGTCTGTATGTAAGTAGCTTACATTTGTAAGCGTTATAAACTTTTGACAAACTTAACATATTTTTCCATCATTCACATATATATGTAATAAATACATATATATATATATATATATATATTAAAACAAGACAAGAAATTTCGCAAATTTATGAAAAAATTGCTACAGATTTCTTCAAACTAACAAAGAATTATACACTTTGCCGGCGAGCTTTCAATTATTTTCTCTTTTAACACACATTTATAAGAAATTTCTCATTAAAGCTGAAAGATTCGTTAATTGTATACATATAACGTTTCCGTTTTTTTTTTTTTTTTTTTTCATTTTTTGTCTTTTGTTTAATTGTATACCTGAGTCACAAAATACTGTCACTTAATGAAAATGTGGTCGCCACATTACGATAAATTTGGGAACAGTTAATCTTAAGGTTACGTTTGATTTCCGTAGGGTGTTAAAAAATATGCAAAGCGTGTTAACGGCTTCATTCAGTCGATTGCAATAAATGACCGGCAGACCGAAGCAAGCGTTATCTTCGAAATCTGACTTACTGCCCTGTACTTACTTAGGGCGGATCTCCATCCGTGCATAACGCGTACCACCTTTGGAGAGATCCGTGTAATAAAATATCGAATTATTTAATACACTGCCTTCTAGGTACCTATAAACATGCACAATATATAATTGGAAAATAGGATGCTATCGTTAGTGTACGATGCATTTTGTGTACGGTAAGCATTCCAAATTATTTATTATTTTTATGTAATTCAAGGATTAGTAGTCAAGCCTATCTTCACGACAAGGACTGTAAAATTTCAAATAAGGTTGGTGCAATCGTGCTTATAGCCCACAGCTTATTGCTCTAATGAAAGGCAATTTTATAAAATATATTTTAATTCTGATCGAACTCCAGTGCGTATTTGAGTCACATTTGAATTGTGAACTGAAATGTTTTGATTATGTCATACTGCATTTACAAATGTCATTACTTGTACTTGACTTTGGATTAACTATTAACACTAAAAAAAAGTATTGGTGAATTTGGAATTAGTCATCAGTCATATCTTAAAATCAACCCTTTTCACAAAAAGTATGTTACCTTTACAAACGATGTGACTTACAGACACACAGCACATTATTACGTTGCGCTTCGAAATGTGCGCATTATAAATCAACGTTTGTACGAAATTTACGTGTGGAGGCAAACTCTAACTTGCATCCAGTCATATAGCAATTACTATAAAACTTTCCACTGCACATGTACCACTAGGAAATATCTTTACACTGTTTGATGCAGGCACTTGTGATTCGTTGGCAAGAACACACAGTCAGCCCGTGAAGAACACGAGACGTTTAAGACATTCCGAGAATTTTAAAAAAATAATGAGCGAAAATTTATTGAAACAACATATCCAATTTTGACAATTGATGAACAGTTAGCTCTATATCGTGAAAGCGTATCTCTTTTAGGACTTGTACAATCGAAATCGGACAAAAACGCGTTCAAAATTCTTTTAGATATGCGACAGTAACAACAATTAGTTGTAGGAAGGAATCCTCTATCTTGGACATCGAGTGGCACAATTGAGTACAAAGTTCGTTATAGAGGTCGCGTTAAAGAGTCGTGCACGGCATTTCAGAACAACGATCGTGATATCATATTTGAAAATTCCTCCACGAGTTATGAACTGTGCAATTTATTGAAAATGTGGTTGGAAAAATTAGAGATATACTTTGCGCCCTCGTTTATACCGCACCGACAACAGCCACAAGTGGAAAGCCATATATTAGTTTGGGGAAAAAGAAATCCATTATTTTTATATGAACTTGTTTGATCGATACTTTACGAGAAGTCTATCAGTGCAGCCATCTACCGAAAAAATAATGGATTTCTTTTTCCCCAAACTAATATTAGTTTTTAGAAAAAACATTACGTTAGTAAACTGTGTGCCACAAAAAAAATAGAAATAAATAAATGAGGCCGTCCTGTAATCATCAATATTACACCAATCACCAATATTACACCAACAAAAACAAATATGAACTTGATACAGGAGCTGATGTTTTAAGACCAAACGGCACATTCATTGCCTTCAAGATGTAAAGCCATTATTTGACGCAAAAGTCATTGGGTTGAATATCTATACAAATTGGAATCGTTTGAAGTCGAACCTGCGAGGCACGTTATGCTTAAAAAGTTTGATTCGGAATACACATACAGCGCTGCAGCACTCAATACTTGAGTGAATGAGTATACTATCGCAGGCATAAATAAACTGCTTGACCACGCACCCACGCCAGCATTTGGCGTCGTTTTGACATGCGTCCATTCGAAAAAGTGGTGTCGCAACTTATTCGAAGAAAATGTACGCACCGGACATTCGAAAAATGATTATCGTATGCAGAATATATGTTTTGTTTGTTATATATTTTTGAAATCAAATAAACAAAGAAAATTATATCCGGACGCGTTCGTCTTTTATATTCGTCACCGCTTAATACTAATCAACCGCATATAATAGACTTCTTCCTGGATGCTGGGAACGTTTCGATAATAAAAATGAAATTTCACCCTTTTTGTAGTATTAAGTAGGCGTGGCTTATTTTTTGGTTTGTGTACAACTGCTGCAAGACAACCCATAGACTATAAATGCCAATTTTTATCGTTGTGTCTCTTGTGAGAAGTTACCTTAGGTTATATTGTACTTTGGTCGTGTCTCTCTCTAGAAGCCGATTGCTGCGTTTGTGTGAACACGAAAATGTTTATTATAGACATCATATAAACAAACGGACAGATGAACAAGCTCTGGATATTGCAAACATTTTGACGCAATGAACATACACCTCATCCTTCAGTAAGAGGTATAGCTATATATGGCCTGGGTATAATATTTTATGTTTGGATATATAGCACGTTTGAAGAAGTAAAGGAATTTCGAAGTAAAAACACAAACAATAGTATGGGTGAGGTGTGAAAAACAGACCACCATCTTCCAAGTTGATTTCTATTTTAGGCCAGTATTCATCATGATATATTAAACGGTAAACCTAATCTTTGTCTTTTCATAAGAATCTTTATACCCAGTGGAATACACAAAATAGACTTACTACATAATCCAAGGGGTTATGTAAAATTACTAATATGGACCAATCCTGACTGTGAAATATTAAAAGATAAGATAACGGCTTACTTTTCGTAGGAGCAGTTTATGAAAGTGTAAAACATTGACTCATAATGGGCCTATTATTTAGCTTAGTCCTTTTTCATATGACGCTGTGCTTTAAAGTAAGGCATTTTATGCAGGGAATGGTCGTAAAAATGATTCGATTGAATTCATCTTCAATAGGCTTGCGTCCCTGGAACAAAAATCACCAAAACAAATTTAGGTTAAACACGAAAATAGATGGAAAGCCATGCATAAATCGATTTAGGATATGATTCCGAATATATAATAAAAACTT